AGGTATCTTGGAGTGGGAGAAGAGGTTGAGGTCTGTCGGGAGGTGGCAGGGAAGCTCCTTGGACTCAATCCTTCCTATCATACACACCACCTGGCAGCTGCTACAGTCTTTCGAAGAAATCCCCTTATGCAGTGTCCTGGACCAGATACAGGAGAAATATGATCTGCAGAAGGTGAAGAAGGTAAGATCGGAAGCCGCTCGCGGGTTGGGGTGGGGTGGAGGTAGAGTAAGAGGGGTGCTAGAGTACCTGTGCCCGGAATCCTTTTCCCAGGCGATGGTGAGACCTGCTCTCTTCGCACACCTGTTTGGGATACTAGCCCTCTTCCAGTCAGGACGCTTGGTAAAGGTAAGAACTTGGGGGTCCTGGGGGGATCCTCAGCTGGGGTGTGTGGGAGTGGTGGCAGACAGGAGCGCGCCCTGCTCACTTCCTCTGCCTTTCCGTGTGGGTGTCAGGACCAGGAGGCCCTGATGAAGTCGGTGAAGGTGTTGCAGGTCCTGGCCCACCATCGCAACCACTTACAGGAGCAGCCCCAGAAGGCGCTGGTGGACATCCTGACTGAGGTATGGGCTTCGAGGCACACCCAGACCTCAGCAACACTGCCCTAGAAATCCATGGGCCGGCGCTCGTGGTGGTATTTGTGTTTCCTAAGAACTGCCCCCTCCAAAAAACAACTGCCATCGAGCTGGTTCCAACTCACAGCGACCCTGTAGGAAAACTGCCTGAGACCCTAATTCTTTGCAGAAGTAAAAAGCCGGTCTCTCTGCAGCGGAGCTGCTGCTGGTGGCCAGCTGCTGACCTGTGGTTAGCAACCCAATGCGTGACCACTACACCTCCAGGGCTCCTAAGAACCACGTTAAAAAGCAAAAAGGGTTATCCTTCCAGCATGCGGCCAGTGTGAGGAAGAAAAAAAGAAGCTGAGCTCTTCCACGCTGCATGTCGGAAACCCAGTGTATTTCACACCTCAAGCATATCTTCCCCTCCGACTGGCTGCATCCTTAAGGGCTCTGTAGCCACTGTGGTCTGCGGCCACCTTACTGGCACATGGCAAGTGTATACGTGTGTGGCATGGTGGTTATTTGCCGTTGGATTGGCTCCTAGGGGCTCTAGTATCCTACCTTGGGAGACAGACCAGCTCAGCACAGAAGACCTTTTGTCCCCGATAGCCTTCGTCAAAGGTTTCTGCACAGCCCGGCCTCAAAGTCAGAAGGACCTAGAATCTAATTCCAGCCCTCCTGTTAGCTTGGGGCTTCTTGTACAAGAAAGGGGCTGGTTATTGGAAGACCATCCTGGTGGTTTAGAGAGTTAAGTGGTCTGCTTCCCAAGGCGCCTGGGAAGAAAGGCTGGCACTCTGCTCCTGAAATATATAGCAGCCTTGAAGTCCACAGGGAGAACAGTCCCATTCCAACACGTGCAGTAGCCACTGTTTTGCAGGTTGGTCAGTCTGTCGGGCTTACAAGCCAGAGAGGGATTGTTGAAAGGGCTGGCCCCAGCCAGTGCCAGCTTCCCGGGACTTGGGGGGTTTTGAAATTCTTTAACCCACACCCAGCACGGTGGGTTGCGGCATGTGCTGGGATCTTTATGGATGCCCGGCAGGTAGCACAGGGTCCCTCGGGACTCAAGCCCAGGGAGGCAAGACTAAGACGTGACCTCCGGATGCAGTGAGTCGCCCTCACGTCTGTCTCCCTGGCCCCAGGTCCCAGAGGCCACGTTGAAGGAGATCCTGCCTAAGGTGCTCAAGGACAACTTGACCATGGTGCTCAGCTCCCCCGAGAGCCTGGAGCTCTTCCTCTTAGCCCGGCAGAAGGTGCCTGCGAGGCTGGAGAAGCTGCTGGGACCGGTCGACCTGTTCTCAGATGAGAACATCCCCAAGTGAGCAGGCTGTGGGCGGCTTGGTTCTGTCTCCCAGGGGCCGTGGCGCTCCCGCTGCCCCATCTGCCGGGCCTTGTCCCTGAGCGCCCCCGCCCTCTTCTCCAGGCTGGTGGATGTGCTAAAGGTGGCCGCTTCGTCTGTGAAGAAGGAGCGCAAGCTGCCCGCCGTGGCTCTCGGCCTGCTGCGCCTGGCGCTTCAGGAGAACAAGTTCCCGAGGTTCTGGAATGAGGTTCTGGAGCAAGGGCTACTGAAGAAGCAGTTCCCGCCCGCCAGGTAGGAGCGGCACGGGTCTCCTGGACTCCCTTTCCCCATTTGCCTGGCGAGGGGCCGGGTGGTAGCCTGAGGTCCCCCCAGGGAGCTGAGGGGCTCTAACCAGGCTCTGTCTCTTGCACCTGTTAGCTTCCTGTGCTTCCGTCTGCTGGGGGCAGCCCTGCCTCTGCTGTCGGAGAAGCAGCTGCAGCTGGCATTGCGGGGAGCCGTGGCCCAGCAATATGGGGAGCACCTGGTGATTGCGAAGGTGGGTGCACCCCTCCAGTGGCTCATCACCGCCAGCAAGGGCTAGGCAACAGGGCTAATGGGGCAGGCCTCCTCGGGGCTCAATCAGCTTCTCCAAAGGGGGGTGGCTCTGCTGCAGTGTCGGGCTTGCTGCCCCATGGGCTTAACTTGTGACACAGATGTATAGCTGCTGTTGCGAGAGGCCTGGGGCTCACCTGTCCCTTCCCTTGCCTTAAGTGTGTAGCTGAACCCCCCACCCACCTTTTCCCTCCTCCCTCTGATTGCAGTGTTGGCATGGCTCTGCACATGGTGTCCGGCTTCTCTGGGCCTGGCTCCTGGACCACAGAATGAAATAAATTGTTCTTTCCTCCTTGATTGGCGGGAACATCAAGCGGGCCCTCAGAACTAGCCGGATCTGAGTCCTGCTAAACTCGCAGCGACCAACCTTATCAGGCGGGGGGAGAGCTAACTGCCCCCGAGACTGTAACCGTTTATGGGAATAGAAAGCCCAGTCTTTGATGGGTTCAAACTGCCGGCCTTGCGATTAGCAGCCCGTTTTGTAACCACTATGCCATGTGGGCCCCTGGCCAAAAGGGCTGTTAGTTTAAAAAGCTACTGTGTGGCATAGTTGTTTCCGCATAGCCAGCTGTTGGAAGCCACCAGCTCCTGAGGAAGAAAGACTGAGCTTTCTACTCCCGTTAGCATTCCCAAACCCACGGGGGTGGGCGTGGCTGCCGTGAGTGTGCCATGTTTCAATGGCCTTGGGTTTGGGTACTTGCGGACGGGTGGCATGTTGCCCAGCATGTGGGAAACACGTGAAAGGTGGTGGTGGTGTAGCCCCAGGGTGACTCAGCTAGGGGCGACCAAAGGCAGAATTGGAAGCCAGGTCGGTTTGATGACTCCTGGACTCTAAAGCCTCAGGCCAGGAAAAGGGGGCGGGGGCTTCTGAAGCCAGAAGTGGGGAGGCAGGGGCAGTGGAGAGGACTCCAGGCTAAGCCCTGCTGGGCCCTTCCTGGCCCTGGGCACAGCCTGTTGAGGAGGCTGGTGGGCCTGGCCTTGGCCTCTCGGGGCAGGCGGGCCCACAGTTGAGCCCTCGGCGAGCATGGCACGCCCTCCCTCCCCTGCAGCTCCCGGATCGGTTCAAGTTTGCCCCCGAGATGGACGAGTACGTGAGTGCCTTCCTGGAAGGCACCCGGGATGACCCGCAGCAGCAGCTGTCCATGATGGTGGCCTTCTCCTCCATCACCAACCAGGGCCACCCAGTGGTGCCCACCTTCTGGCAGGTCATCCGGTGCCTGAATCCCCGCGCCCTCCAGGACTACGTGGCCTGGCTGCGGGACATGTTTCTGCAGCCCACCCTGGACTCTCTGGTGGACTTCAGCACCCGTAACCAGAAGAAGCACCAGAACGCATCCGTGAACTCGTGAGTGGGCCTGCCGGGGGTGGGGGGAGCGGGAGCTCTCGGCTGTCCTGGTGCCAAGGTGGGGCAGAGGGCGCCTCACACCAGCCCTCCTAAATGCTTCTGTGGCGCCGGCTCCTGCCCCCAGGCCCGAGCGGGCTGTGTACCGGCTGCGGAAGTGGATCATCCTTCGCCTGGTCAGCATCGTGGAGAACTCGCAGGTGGAGAAGGAAGCGGCCTTGGTCCAGGAGGTAGCCAGGTACACTGTGTGCTCAGCCCCACCCCTGAGACCATAGAGGGCCGTGGGGGAGGGGAAGGAAGTGAGCCTGGTGCCCCCTCCCAGTTTGGAAGCCCTGGGACCAGAAGCCTGCAGAAAGCATGGGGGCCAGCAAACCATTCTCACCCCCCAGGCACCAGCCAGTGGCCCTTCTCTGGAGGAGGGGGTGCTGGAACAGTAGGGAGCCCAGGGACCTGAAAAGAAACCTCCTGGCACCTGCATCCTCTACATCAGGCATGAGGCCAGGTGCCCGACTAATCCTCCCCCCATTCTCCAGGAGGTGTGACTGCTGGGGTCACATGGCCTGAACCTGTCTTGTCTCCAGATGGGGTTTCCACGCATCTTTGATCAGCACGTGCTGAGACCAGCTCACACCCGAGCATGCTCCTCTCTCCCCCCACCTCGCTGCCCCTGGGCCATGCCTGCTGGTGCCGCCCCAGGAGAGCAGCCTGGGCCCAGCTGGCACTGTCCCCGGCTCACGCTTATGGCCCCCCCCTCCCCAGGTTCTGTTTGTTCCATTCGTTCTTTGAAACCAAGAAGCCCACGTCCCAGATCCCTGAGACTGAGCAGAAGATCTCCTTCCCGCTGGAGAGCCGGACCCGGGAGATGGTCTGCAGCGCCTTCTTCAGGTGGGCAGGGTTTCGGGGTGCGTGGCGGGCAGAAGTGGACTGGGGAGTCTCAGCTGGGAAGAATATCAGAGGCCCAGGGAGTTCCTGGAGATAGCCAGGTGGAGGGACTGGCCCCAGGCTGGGCAGCCGTCCAGCCAGTGACCCTAGCCCACTCCACCACCACCCCACCCAGTCTGCTGCAGGCCCTCAGCACACAATTCAAGCAGGTGCAGAGCCAGTCCCCCGACGGGCAGCCCTGGATCTACCACCTGGTGCAGTTCGCAGACAACCTGCTGAAAAGCCGCAACGTGGTCCCCATGACACCCTTCACCGAGCAGCAGCGCCAGGCCTGGGACCGGTGAGCGGGCAGGGCAGGGGCTTTCCTGTGGCAGGCGGGGACCCTGGGGTCTGACACCAGGGCCTGAGAACACGCCCACCTCTTCCCAGGATGCTGCAGACACACAAGGAGCTGGAAGCTCGCTCTTCAGAGGCCAAGGCCACTGCCTTCCAGCACCTGCTCCTCCTGGTGGGCATTCACCTCTTTAAGGTACGCACGGACAGGCCCTGTGGTTGGTTCCCGGGGTGGGCCGCTTCCTGAGGTTATGGGTTCAGCTTTTCTCCTCTTCTCTGGGGGCCCAGCCTGACTGTGCTCTCCGTCATCACGTTCCATGGCCACACCCCTTCAGCGGGGCTTCTGAATAACCAGTGGTGGGATCTCTTGCTCTTTTTTCCCCACTGAGAAACTGCATGACGGGGCAGCCTGCTGCCAGAGATGTCTGGCCCTGATGTCCCCAAAGGGGAGCTGCCATCAGGGCTGCTTCATGGTGTGCAGCACGCTCCTTTTTGGCCCTAGGCACTCCCAGCCTAGCTCATGGCCTGGTTGTATAGGGGGTTGTTGGCCTGGCAGTGGGCCTGTGGGCTTCCTGGACTCTTCAACACCATCCACAAAGGTCCTGGGGCCATGGCTGGCCTGGACAAAGGCCGCTGTAGTTAGGGGTGAGTCTGGCCCTGGATAAGAGGGGGTAACGCAAAAGCAAGGGCCTGCTCCCATCACATAGCTAGAGGGTTGGTGACAGCCTGACCCAGGCTTTGGTCCCCAGTTCTTACATGCCAGCCTCAGCGCTAGCAGCCCCTGGGCCATAGCAGGCTATGAGTTGGGCTGTTAGCCACAGGGTCACCAATTCCAATCCACCAGCCTTGGGAGAAGGATGAGGCTGTCTGCTCCCGTAGAGGTCTTGGCAGCCTCGGAATCCCAGTTGCGTTCACCCCCTGTCCTGCAGATTGCTGGGAGTCAGTATCAGCTCAGCCGCTGAGGTTTGGCTCCACATTGAGACTGCCCAACTATATTGTGGGCGATGTTTTCCGAAGGTTCTCTGACACACTATCTGTGTCCTCAGCAACCCAACTCCAGGCCAGGGAAGAACTGCCCATCCTGAGTCACCGCCCCCTGCCCTCAGCAGTGTGGGTCTCAGTGTCTGATGGTGTGGCTGTGTCGTCACAGAGTCAGGCTGGGTGGGGGCGGATAAACCCGCATCTCACACAGGAGGCCTGGGACCCGCTGGCTTCCTTGTGGCCGCCCTTCGCCTCCCTGGTGCCCAGGGCCCTGTAACAATACCCTGGCCATGAGGGATGCCCCCCCTTGGACTGCCCCCGCACCCTTGGCAGGTGATGAGGGTGACTGGCCCCTGACTTGTGCCCTGCTGACCACAGACGCCCGCTGAGAGCTGCAGTGACCTGGCCGACATCCAGGCCTGCATCCAGAAGAGCCTGGGCGGGAAGCCACGCCGCACGCGCTCCAAGGCCGCTGGTGGGTCCTGCCCCGTGGCGGGGGCTGTGTGTGTGTGTGTGTGTGTGTGTGTGTGTGTGTGTAGTGGTGGTGGTGGTGGTCTGTGCACACGTGCGCTTTGCCCAGTCTGACTTGGCCCCTTCCTGCCCGCAGATGCCCAGGAGCCTCCATGGGTGGAGGTGATGGTGGAGATCCTGCTGGCCCTGCTGGCCCAGACAAGCCACCTGATGCGCCAGGTGGCTCGAAGTGTGTTTGGCCACATCTGCTCCCACCTGACTCCGCGTGCCCTGCAGCTGATCCTGGATGTGAGTCGCGGGCACCAGGTTGCTGCAGTCAGTGTGTGTTGGGGGGTGGTGGCAGGGAGGGGCCTAGGAGGCTTCGGGAAGTCATCAGGTCTGGGACCGGGCATGTGGGTGTAGGACCTTCTTCCACGGCCTCTGTTCTTCCTGCCACAGGGACCCGTCAAGGGCCTGGCCTGGGGGTGGGGAGGTGGCCAGGAGGGCCCAGCGAGCCTAGGGCCAGAGCGGCAGCTGTGGGCATCCTCCACAGGTGCTGAACCCAGACAAGGTCCAGGATGAGGAGGACAGCGTGGTGGTCACTGATGATGCGGACGAGAAACAGCGCAAGACGAAGGCCCCCAAGGTGCCTGCCTCTCGTGGGGTGGACGGGGTGCGGCGCCGTGCTCGGGCCAAGGGGTTGCTAATGCACATGCGTCCACAGAACGGGAGTGAGGATGGCTCGGCGAGTGAGGCGGAGGGGGAGGAGAGCAGCCAGGAGGAGGAGGAAGAAGAGGAAGAGAGCGACGAGGAGGCCCGAGACGATGACGTGGACCAGGGCTTCCGGGAGCAGCTGATGGCGGTGCTGCAGGCGGGGAAGGCGCTGGTGAGCCGGGGCCTGGGGCTCCGGGACCCCTTGGTCTCTGCCCGTGCCGCACCGGGCTGACGGCCGGGCCTCTGCCCCACAGGGCGGGGAGGACAGCGAGGACGAGGAGCTGGGGGACGAGGCCATGATGGCCCTGGACCAGAACCTCGCCAGCCTCTTCGCCGAGCAGAAGCTGCGCATGCAAGCCAAGCAGGACGAGAAGAACAGACTGCAGAAGGAGAAAACGCTCCGGCGGGACTTTCAGATCAAGGTGCGCAGCTGCCTGGCACCAGCCCTCCCCCCCAGCCCGCCCTACTCTGGCTGAGCTGAGCCCGCTCCTCTGGCTGCAGGTGCTGGACCTGATCGAGGTGCTGGTGAGCAAGCATCCCGAGAGCCCGCTGGCCCTGGAGCTGATCGAGCCTCTGCTGACCATCATCCGCCGCAGCATGCGCACCAGCAGCTCCAAGCAGGAGCAGGACCTGCTGCACAAGACGGCCCGCATCTTCACGTGAGTGGGCGGGGCGGAGGACGGTGTCCCCAGCAAGAGCTGGCCAGGTCAGCCACTCAGCCAGAAAGGCTCATGCCCCAGGCCGCCTTCTAGAGTACGGGCCCTCATGGGAAGAGGACTTAGACAGGGAGCTCAGCCAGGCAGCAGGCATCCGTAGAGACAGCCAGGGAGCAGACCCACCCAACCTGTGCCCACTCCATGTGCTGTCATGCACCCATCCACCCTATTTACCCAGAGTCCTGTCTCTCTCCCCTCAGGGCTTAGGGCACACAGACACAACCCCCCTTTGCCCAGGGCCCAGGAGAGCGAGTGGGAGGTGTGGACTTGGGTGGGGGTGCATGGCTCAGAACGCAGCTTCCACCCAGACAGCCCCTACCCCTCGGACTTGCCCTCGGCCGGTACCCTGAGCCCCGCACACTTTGTACGCATCCACGCGGGCCTCCGGACCTCCGTCTGCAACCCTTTTTCCCTCCAGGACTCTGTTCCTAGCTGTGAAGTGGGCTGAGGGTTGGCGCTCCTGGCAGGGAGTAGGGGCAGAGAACGTCCTGATCAGCTCTGCCCTGACCCCCCCAGGCACCACCTTTGCCGCAACCGGCACTATTGCCACGACATCGGCAACCACGTGCAGGCGCTGCACGCCCAGGTGGAGCGGCTGGTACAGCAGGCCGGCCACCAGGCTGACTCCTCCGTGGCTCTCTACTACTTCAACGCTTCCCTCTACGTGCTCCGGGTCTTAAAGGGCAACACCGCCAGTGCCCCGCCCACCAAGACCCCGAAGAAGCAGAAAGCCAAGGCCACGGTTCCAGAGGTGAGCAGGCCTGCTCAGGAAGACTTCAGGCAGGAGGGGGTTCCCCCCCTGTCCCCCGAAGGCCGGTGCCAATAGACCAGCAGCCCCAGGGCCTGGTGCCCACCTTGCAGGGGCCCTCTCCCTGGCACCAACAACTCTTTCTCACCTGGCCTAGGCGACCAGCTGCCTGGACTTGAAGCGTGTGACCCCAGTGTACTCCTCCGCCCTGAGTGCCTTCCTGACCAAGCGCAACAGCCCCCTCAGCATCCCCATGTTCCTCAGCCTCTTCTACCGGCACCCTGTGAGTGTGGGCGGCCACCCTGTACCCCAGGGCCGGCTCGATCCTCACCCACCTACCTCAGGGCCCTGACTTGCCCCCCCTGCCCCCCACAGGTGCTCTGTAAGAACCTGCTCCCTGTCATGATGCAGCACGTGACTGGCCCCACACGGCCCCGCCAGCAGGTGACGGACTCCCCCAGCCCACACTGATTGCCCCTTGTCTGGTGGGGCATTGGTGGTCCCCGAGGGAGAGCGCTGACAACCTGCCTTGTCCAGGAGGTTAGGGTTGGTTACCCCTGCCCACTGACCTGGCCCGTGTGGCACCTGCTCTCTGCAGGGGCTGCTGGCCGGCCATGCTTGGGCCTCTCTCCCCACCTTGGGCAGAGTGAATGAGGGCAGGAAGGGCCCACTTCAGGAGGGGTGCGCTGCACAGCCGCTGTTCCCCTCGGCCCACACCAAGGAGGCTGGAAGAAGAGGGCATTGAGCAGCTGGTGGGCTGGGAGCTCACAGTTTGAGGGCCTTTCTCTGTCCACTTGAGACCCTGACTGTTTCCCAGCCCTCCCCCCTTCCTGTACCAGGAGACGGGCCAAGAACCAGTGATACTGGGCCCTGATCACCTGGGCAGGTGGGGCAGCCCTCGCCCGTGGCCTGGCATTGGGTGCCTGCAGGCTCCCGTGACCCTGTGCCCTCCACAGAGCCAGGCCTGCCTGCTGCTGCAGAAGGCGTTGTCCATGGGAGAGCTGAGACGGGCCTTCGAGGGCTGTGAGTGGGAGCAGCTCATTGCCCAAGTCCTGGGGAAGGTCACTGAGGTAACAGCTGGGCCCCGGGCGGGCTAGGGATGGGCAGCAGGGAGGGGAGGCAAACACCCCCCCCACCCCCCACCCCCATGTGGGGCAGCAGGGGGGTGGGCATACCACCTTAGCAGCCTCGCTCTCTGGCCCCTAGAACCTGTGCACGCTGGGGAAGGCGCAGGCCAAGGCAGAGCAGCAGGGGGAGCTGGCTGCCCTGGAGCTGCTCATCATCCTCCTCAAGGCCATCCACTACCAGGTGAGGCCACGCCCCTCAGGGAGGGTGGGGGCGGGGCTTGGGGAGAGTGGGAGGAACCAGGCAATCGCCCTTAGCTCTGGGTGGTTCGAGCTGTGGGTGGAGGGTAGTGGCGAGTTGAGCAGCAAGAGTGGTCATGCCGAGACCTGGCCAGGGTGCAGACGGGACACCTTGTGCTCAGACTGCCGAGAAAGGGGGAATTGATGGGGTTTCCAGGTGGGCAGCAGCCGGGATCAAGAGAGGGGCAGGTTGTGGGTGGGGAGTTGCATTTGGGGTATGGGGGCTGTGAGGTCAACTTCCATGGGCTCCCATCAGTGGGGCCCAAGGGGAGGGTTGGGAATCTGGTGCTGGACACTGAGTAAACCCAGGTGGGAGGGAGCTTGCCAAGTGCTGGGAGGGAGGCCCTTGTGGGTCAGATGCCATCCTTCCGCACTTAACAAGGCATCCAGGAGAGGGAGCCAGTGGTCTTCAGAATAACTCAGTTATACAGCCACGCTCTGGTCCCAGCAGTGGCCCTGCCAGAGACACTGCCAGGGAGGAGGAGTGAATGGAGGTGAAGACTCCGCAGAGTCTTCGGGGGAAGAGAGGGCCCTGTTGTTCCCTTGGTGAGAGAGTCTGATTGATGGGCACCGGGAGAGGCAGTGATCCTTAGAGGGGGGGGTGAACGTGCAGGGCTGGAGCCCCACAGTACTACTGCAGCGCCGCCGCCTCCATCCTTCCGCAGAAGCTGACCGTGGACCTGACCCCCATCCTGACCCTGCTGCAGGGACTGCAGCCGACCCTCCAGCAGAGCCTCCAGCAGGGAGCGCACCCGGCCGGGTCCAGCCGCCTCTATGACCTCTACTGGCAGGCCATGAAGCTCCTGGGAGTCCAGTGCGTCCGGGGAGGGTCCCCCAGGACCACAGAGCTGGTGAGGTTGGTAACTTCTGCCCCAGGGAGCCTGTCTCACTCTTCTTCCTTCCCCCCCAGGCGCCCCAAATCTGAGAAGAAGGATGCCAAGGAAAACCCCAGTGACTCCCAGGGCCCCATTAGCATGAAACGGAAGAAAAAGGGGTTCTTGCCGGAGACCAAGAAGCGCAAGAAGCGCAAGCCGGAAGAGGCTGCAGAGCCAGCAGCCAAGCAGGCTGCCGATGGCGAGAACCAGCCCCCCACCCCCAGCTCGGGCAAGAAGAGGAGACGGCGACACAGGGCAAAGTCCAAGGCCTCAGCCCAGAGCCAGGCCAGCGGGGAGCCTGCCGCCAAGGGCCCCAAGCCCGGCACCCCCAGCGCAAGCCCTGGCCCCTCTGCCACCCCCACAGCGAGCTCCAGCACCCCTGCCAAGACCCCAAAGCTGCAGAAGAAACGGCAGAAGCTGTCGCAGGTGAACGGAGATGCGCCCACAGAGCCCGCCGGCAAGAAGCTTCAGGAGGGGGTCCCGGACAAGTCACCGCAGCCCACCCCGCCACGGAAGAAGACAAAGCTGCCTTTGGCCAACGGGAGCCCCAGCCCCAGTGTCCTCCGGAGTGGCACCAAGAGGAATAAGGTGCCCCCAAAGAAGGGGGCTAATTAAGTCCCGGGACAGCCATTCCATCAGCCCTAGAGACTCCGTCTTTTTACATCATAGTTTTAATAAACAAGCTGAAATCCACGCTGCTGCCTTCTGGCGCTGAGCGGGGAGCAGGGAGGACTGTGGTCTGAGAGGACAGGGACTGCTGGTGGCAGCATTGCTGGGCCAGGCCCGCGCCCCAGCAGGCCTGCCTAACCTTAACCTCTGTGGACTTCCCTGTCGTCTGTCCGAGGGTGGCACTGGAGGCTAAGCGCTTAGCTGCTCGCTAAAAGGAAGAGCCCAAGGTCTTCCTCGAGGACTTTCAGAGGAGAGGCCTCGTGGTCCCCTTCCAGGACAGCTCTACCACCTGTGGAGCGCAGTGGTCCTGACCCCCACGAGGGGGTGGGAGTCAAGGCTGCCCAGGCCTGGGTGGTCAGGTGGCTGGGCAGGGGCCCAGGCCTGTATACAAGGCAGCTCCCCACACTGGCTGGGCCCCTGCAGGGCCACTCCTCACACAGCGCCCCCAGCCCTTCCCTGCTCCCCAGGGCTGTGTTGAAAGTACGGGCACCATCAGGGCATGATTTAAATAGTTTTATTTCTTTCATTTACAAGAGGAATATATTTGGCTTCTCGGAGACTCTGAGATTCACAATCAGCAGCTCTAGAAAATAAAGGAGCAGTTTGGCTTCCGGAAGGAAGAGGAGGCAGCCCTCGGACCTGGCTCTTGTACAACAAGAAAACATTGCCGGAGCCCCAGCCTGGAGGGGGGGAGGGGGGTCCATCGGGGTGGCGGCCAGGCTGGGGACCCCACCCGTTTGTCGCCCCCTCCCCCCGGGGTACCCCAGGGTTTGATGGGAAATAGGTATTCCACTAGCTCACACAGGCCACTAAAGCCCAAGGCCAGCTGGGAGGGAACTACAGGGTGAAGGGGGCATTGTCCAAGCTGACTCCCGGGGTCTCCTATTGGCAACAAGGGGTACCCCTGGCAGGGTGGAGGCCCCTGCGAAGCTGGCCACAGCCCAGGGGAGGTGTGTGTGAAGGCTTGGCCCACGGAGAGGAAGCAAGAGTGGATGTGTGGAAGCAGCAGCAGCTGCGGCCTGGGTTGATGTGTCGAGGTGACGGGTGTTGGCCCACCTGGGTGGGTCTCGGCCTGGGTTGGTGTGTCTGGAGGTGATGGGTGTTGGCCCACCTGGGTGGGTCTCTGCCGCGCCTGCTGCCTTGGTGGACAGGAAATAATGGACGGCTGCTTCCTCTGGCCACTGCCCTGTGAATTCTGGGATGGCCGCTTCGGCCCTGCCCCTAGAAGAGCCCAGCCTACCCTGGGGAGGGAGTGGGGTACTACGGTGGGGGTGCGAGAGATGACGGCAGAAGTGCTCTTGAGAGACCCCGCTCCAAGACTGGCCAGACTGCCCTCGAGCTCAGGCACAGGGGTAATGTGCAGCTGCCACCAGGGCCTTCACCCCTAGTGATGCCCACTCTGCCCTGGGATGGTGCCCCACTGGGCCACCACCAGGCCGAGAACCAGCTCCAGGCTGTGGTGACCAGCCCTCCAGAGAGCTGCTGGATCTGGACATGGCCCAGTGGCCAGTGTGCCTGGCTCCGGCCGCTCTGCTCGCCAGGCGCAGTCCGACCTCCCGGAGGAAGCCCATCACAAGCCTCAGAGCCTGGACCGCCGCCCTGAGGCTTCGGCCCCTCCTCTGTACGGCCCAGTGGCTGTTAGGTCTTCAAAGCGGCCCATGGCGCCCTGCCCAGCAGGCTGCGTGGGAAAGGCCAGCCTTCTGGCCTGCCGGTCCGGGCAGAGCAGGGACTTGCCCAGGGTCACATAAGCCGGTGACAGACCCGGCTGTCCCAATGCAGCCACTCGGGGTTGTCCTCTCCCTTGGCCCCAGGGGCCCTGCAGCCGGAACTCAGGGCTGGGTGGCCGTCCAGACGTGTGGCTCCGGCAAACGCAGCCTTCCAGGTTACCTGAGGACAGTGCATCTTCCCGGAGCCAGGCCCACTCCAAGGTCCCAGACCACAGAGGGTAGCCCCTCAGCCTTGGGTCACTCAGGAAGCCCTGGGGCAGCTCAGAAGGGCCAGGATGGCAGAGGACACCCCCTAGACCAGGTAGGCAGGAGGCTTCTTCGTGGTCCCAGCAGCCCCTAGGTGGGGGTGGGGGGGTCAGAGATCAGAGGTGGAGGCTTTGAGACTTTGCTCCTGCATTCTCCTTGCTCCGGGGACACAGAATGGCGGGTGGGCTAGAGGATAACCAGGGCCTGAAGCTGCATGGGACAGCCTCCCTACTGATACTCCCTTGCCCAAATCTGTTCTGGGCCTTTCTGAGAGGCATTCCTGGCCAGTCCAGGCCCTGACCTGCCCCCCGAACACACGCCCTTCTCAGGAAGGAAGCCTGTTCCCCCTTCCACAGTTCATCAGTAAGTTCAGGCAGCTTCTCGGGAGGCAGGGTCCAGCACAGAATGCCGAGACGCTGCTTGGACCTCCCCTCCCCTAAAGCCTGGCACCCGGCCTGCCCACAAGGAGCCCCGGAGGTGTGGACAGTGAAGGCTGCTAACTGGAAGGCTGAGGGGTGAGTCCACTAGGGCACCATCTTAAGAAAGGCCTGGCAAAGCAGCCAGGAAAACCAAACAGGGCACAGCCCTACCCTGACACCCATAGGCAGGCACCACTAGTCGGAATCAACTCTTCAGTCGGGAGCTGGTTCGGTTGGGGGGGGCTCCCCTCTCACTAGCAGCCCAGGGCCCCGCCGGCCTGCACTCACCGCCTCAGACTTTCACGGATGCGGGCGGCATCATCAGTTGGTTCACCCTGGGGAAGAGACGGGCGGGGGTCAGGGTGGCAGGTCAGCGAGGGCCGGGCCCGGGCACTGCGGTGGCAAGTCTCGTCGGGGCCAGCTGACCGGAAGTTCTGGGCAGGGACCTCGTCAGCCCCAGGGGGAGATGGGAGAGCCCAGGGGTGGGGAGAGGAGAGACAGAGAGGGGTAAAGAGAGGAGAGAGAAGTCAGAAAACAAGACAAAAAGAAAGGGGAGGTGGGGGTCCCGGTTCTGAAAAGCTGGTGGTGCAGAAGAACCCTGAGTCTAGGACCATCGCATGCAGGGGCCTCCCCCACCCACCTGCCCAGGGGGCAGCCTCCCAGGGGCACGAACGCTTGGGGTGCCATCCACACACACCAGCCCAGGGAAGCCCCTGGATCGCCCGAAGGAAAGGAGCTGCCTGTGAGGCTGCCAGCCCAGGGTGTCGGCGCCCCACTCACTGCTGCTCAGCCTTGGCACGGTCGCTGAGGAAGAAGAGTGCGGTGGCGAGGAAGAACATGCCGCCCAGGACCACCACGAAGGGGCAGAGCATGAGGGCATAGCCCAGGCTCAGGAACTCCCAGAGCGGGGAGTCCTTGGTGCTCTGGCGGATCAGGTCTGAGATCTGAGGGGCGGGGAGGGCAGGTGTCAGGGCAGAACCCCCTTCTAGACAACCCCCCCCACTGCCTGTCCCGGCCAGCTCACCCCTGGGGTACTCACAAAGCCAATGAGGTAGGGGCTCCCAGCATCCCCCAGCAGGTGGGAGGTGAAGCTCTGTAGGGCCACAGCAGTGGCCCGGCGCGTGGGAATGACCACGTACTACGGAAGAGGTAGACAGGTTAGTGGCCGGAGGGGTCAGGCTCATCCACTTAGTCTCATTGCTGGGCTTGGTGGGGCCCCGGAAATCCTGACCCCCTAACTCGGACTCACTCCTGCCTTGTCTCGTTACCTCCCTCTCCTGTGTTCTCCCTTCACTACCCTCATCTTTACTGCTCTCTCCAAAGGGCAGCAGCTCCCCCATCACCCCTTCCCTCCCCCGCCCTCCGGGAGCCAGATCCCACCCACTCCCGACTGGCATGGACTGCTCCAGCCCCAGGCCAGACCCTAAGCCCAGCAACTATGGCCAGTGATGCCATGCTAAGCCTACCCAGGCGGGACTCATCCCAGGCCCCCGCCTACAGCCCCCAAGCCCCCATCTCCGAGATGAAAGCCTTTGACTCCCTTGCCCCCCACATCCAACCAGCGTGATGGGAGCCCAGGGCTACCGCTGCTCTGCAGGCGCAACCCCAGCTCGAGTCAGCCTGCGCAGACATGCAGAGCACTCTTCGGGGGTCCTTGGAGCCTGGGGGGGCGTGTGCCCTCAGAGCTGCCGCCTTTCTGCCCCTTAGGCGTCGAGAACCCCAAGTTCCTTGGGGTATGGGGCCTGCTCGCCTCCTCCCTACAAACAAAGATCCCTCTGGTCCCCACAGTGAGAGCAGCACTGGGGCTGGACGCTGCCTGGGAAAGCCTCCTTTCAACCTGTTGCTCAGCGCCACCAAAGCGGTCCCGGCCCACAGCGACCATGTGCCCTACAGAAGGCAACACCGCCCAGGCGGGCGCCATCCTCACAATCGTTCCCGTGCTGTAGCCCATCGCTGCAGCCACTGTGTCCACAACGTCCTTCTGCAGTTCAACCCATTCGTGCCCCGGGAAGGCCAAGAGCTGCTGGGCCCCAGAAGGGCAGCCCCACTGGGAACTCCCCCAGACCAAGCAGACTCTGATGGGGGAGCTGCATTTCCAGAGTTAAGCAGCCGAGGTCAGACTGGAAGGGGTGGTGGCCTGTGGGCAACAGTCCCTGAACCCTCACTCCAGCTGCCTCTTCTCTTCAGAGACCCCCCCAAACCCACCAGCCTCCAGCTTCGGGGCGCAGCCAGGGCAGCCACGCTCCACAGGCAGCCTGGTGGCTGGGGGAAGAGGCCTAGATCAGAGAAACTGACATGGCCCCATTTCCAGCAATAGTTAGTCATTTCGATGTGACGCTTCATAAAATGGGACACGATTGCCCTGGGACCCAGACCCTGTCAGCTGCTGGAACTGCTCTTGGCCATGGAGGCAGGGCACACGGGATGTGCGGTGACCCCTGCCCCTCCCTACCACCTCACTTGGCCCTGAGTGAGGCAGCCCACCCCCACCTTGGGCTGGTGGGGGAGGGAGACAGCCCAGGCAGACAGGATGTAGCAGGGAAGCTAGGGCAGAGACCAGGCAGCTTCCAGGAGGGGAGGAGCCAGCAGGGGGCTCAGTGCCCAATGCAGACACCCCACCCCTGGGTCACTGGCTATGTGGGGCAGCACCAGGCCCTGGCACCTGAGGGTCCACCCATGAGGAGTCCTTTCCCCTTCTTTCTGGGGCTTGCCCTGGCCCCTCCCACTCCCCCACCCCAGGCTCCTGCATCCACTTCTCCTATCCTTTCCTGAACCTGATGTGAGGGAGTCCGAGGATAGAACTGGGTGTCCCCCTCCCCCGACTGCTATAAGGCCCCCTCCGGCTCTCCACAGGCTGCCCCCATCCCCACCCAGGGATATAAGTCCCCTCCAGCCACTCAGTCGGCCTTTTGTCCCTGGCTGGCTGGTCCGGAGTCCATTGTTGGCCCTGTGAAGACGGCCTCTGTGTGCCAGGCCCAGCCGCAGGCTCTCGGGCAGAGGCGCCTGGCTCCGGTGGCCACAGTCCCCCGCCGGCAGCCTGGGACCCAGGCTGGGCTGGGAGGGTGCGGGCCCTGGGGGAAGAGCACTGGCAGCCACCACCACCACCTCAGTGCCAGCCTGGCACTGCCAGCCTCCCAGCCACAAGCTTGAGCCTCGAGACAGCCCCCTTCCACAGCTGCCCCCACGCTGACCCCTCTGCCTTCATAGCCCCAAGTGCCCTGCTGCGCCCAAAATCTCCTACCCCCTGGGTTGCCCTCCCAGCATGCCGTTCTCCCTCCAGTGTCCCCCAAGCCAGAGAGCTCTCTTGCCTCTCCACCTGCCCTCCCCAGCAATCCCCTGCCCCAACCCCAAGGTCAAGGGGTCTGAGTCCCCATGAGGTGATACTGGCTGACTCACTCACCATGAGGATGTCCGCCGTGATGGCCCAGTTCGAGAACAGCAGCGTCTCCCCAACAAAGATACAGATCTATCCATCAGGGAGAGCAAACTGACCATCAGGGACACCCCACCACCACCACCACCACCACCACCACCAGGCACAGCATCCCTGACCCTTGCCCCACACACACACACTCACATAGGCCCCCACGATGCTGCTCTTGGCGGCCACAAAGATGAGGCAGATGAAGATGGCGGATCCCAGCATGCCCACCGCACACACCAGCGGATCCGCCCGCTGCGTCCGCAGGCGGCACCAGCGCGTGGCTCCTGCGCCCGTGACCACGCCCAGGAAGCCCGTGAAGCAGGTGATGGCCCCAAAGATGAGGCTGTGGGCACAGAGCACCATGGGGCACATGGTAAGAGGGTGTGCAAGGCCAGGACAGTGGGATTCTTCTGTCCGGTGGGTGGCCCTCGCCAGCCCTGGCCCCCCTGGCAGGCCCCACCTGTCCTTGGCCCCACAGGGCGGGCTGTTGCAGGTCTCAGCGGTCTTCTGCACAACCTGGGCTCGGTGCAGGTAGAGTGGGATCCACATGCCCAGGGCCCCTGTGGCGAAGGACACAGCCGACGTGGCCAGGGAGGAGAAGACGTAGCTGCGGCTGCGGAGAGGTGGGCAGCGGCTCTGAGCGGCGTCTCACCCGAGTCTCTCAGCTTCCGCAGGTCAGAGGCCTCCAGGACATATTCCCCTACAGGCTCTAGGAATGGGGGTGGGGGCCAGGGACTCGGGGCTCTAAGAACAAACACTAGCAGCCAAATGTCACCGGGACAATGATCCTGGCCCTGACTCCAGGAGTCCTGCTCTGGGCAGGCTGCCATACAGGGGGTTCTCTCATCCCAACACCCCTCCCTCTTCCCATCAGGACTCACTTTCGGATCAAGGCCTTCATGTCTCGGAGCCACGAGGTGCGTGCCTTGAGCTGCCCCGCAAGCTGGTCTGCGTGGCCTCTCTTAGTGGCAGGAACCAGGACAAGGATGAGCGTTCCTGTGATCATGCCCAGGGCAGGGGATACCTGGCAGGGCGGGGCACGAGAAGTTCGGATAGCAGGACATTGTCTTCTTTGCACTGGGTGGGGCTGGGGGCTGGGGTGAAGGTGAGGGTCAGGCAAGCAGTGTCTTTTGGTGGGTCCTGGATTCCTCCTCAGGGCTAGCAGCTGACCAGCCTTCCCCACTGGCTACTGAACACAGGGATGATGATGACATTAGGGAAGGGCTTGGGGGACCAGAGTGGACTGTCTAGGTCAGGGCCCATCTGAGGTGAGGGGATGAGAGGGAGGACAGGTGGTCAGATGGAGGGAAGATGGCTAGACAGAAGGATGGAGAATAGATGGAGAGATGGGCAGAGGATGGATGGATGGCTGAGTGGATGGAAAGATGAGTGGATGGATGGGTGAGTGAATGGAGGATGGATGCATGCATGCATGCATGGGTGGATGGAGGATAGTTGGGTGGGGGGATGGATGCATGGATGGAAAGATGCATGGATGATGCATAGGTGGATGGAGGATGGATGGGTGGGTGGATGCATGGATGGATGGATGGATGATGGATGAATGAATGGAAAGATGCATGGATGCATGGATGGATGATGGATGAATGAATGGAAAGATGCATGGATGCATGGATGGAGGATGGATGAATGGATGGAAAGATGCATGGATGCATGGGTGGATGGAGGATAGATGGGTG